TCCAAGAGGGTCAAAGCAGTCGAAAACCAAAAGGACTCCTAACGTGTTGTCGTTTCCTTTCTGGAGCTCCCATGCGTGGGCAACGCGTGGCTCTAAGATGGCCTTGGAGGCTCGCTGGGTCCCGAAGAGACTTGGAAGATTGCCCGGGACTGTTTCGAATGCAGTGCGTCAAGGCGACTTCAGATTCCAAGGCGTGCGTTTCCAGGCTAAGGACCCGATCTTCCAGACACGGCCCCTCTGCGCGCCATATTCTCTGCCCCATGGAAAGTAGAATTTGAGCGTGCGCGAAGCGCGCGGGCCATGGTTCTACAAGACTCGTCAAACAGAAGTTGAAGGTTGTTGTTTCGGCGCTTGCGCGGTTGGCGCTACTTCAATGCTGACACGAGGCGTTTGGCCCACGCGCAGGGGGGTCCGAAATCTGGCAGTGCCCTCGCAGCACTGAAAAATGCGCTTTCTCACAAGTGCCCGAACCATCGGGCGCTTCGATATAACCGGTATTTCAGTTTTTTTTTGACGAGGCTCGTAGTACCATACTCTTGGCATCGCTCGGACGTGTGCGTTTCTTCTCGGCGAGGTTCTTCGAGGAGCATCCTCGACCATCGGACCAACAAACACACAGACGAGACCGAAAGATGCAGGTGGAAGGGACGCCCGAGCGACAGCGAGTACTTACCAAACACTAATCGACGCGTTATGTTGTTGTTGTTGTTGTTGTTGTTGTTGTTGTTGTTGTTGTTGTTGTTGTTGTTGTTGTTGTTGTTGTTATCATCGTTGTTGTATTTGTTGTTGCTACGAACGTTGTTGTTGTTGAACATTATTACTTCTAAAGAATAATTATTGTTGGGACCCCTGGTGCACGACCCCCTCGCCGCGCCTAGGCCGCAGCCACATTTTCATCATTTTCGTGAGGAAGTCTCAGGCAAAACGGGTTGGTCCGGATCCGGTTGTGTTGTTACGGCCCGCTTTCCCTTGCAAAAAATAAGCTAAAGTGGACATTTCTTGTTCTAACATAACCAAACTTCAAGAATCCCTTGCAAAAAATAAGGTAAGTGGACATTCGCGCGCGCAAGACGAAATCCTTCCAAAACCTTAGTTTTCGTAGCGATTTTAACATAAAAACATCAACAAACCAATGTTTTTTTTCAAAAAAGTGTCAAAATTTCATCCCGCGCGCTCTTGCGGATTCGGAGGAAACCCAACACTTTTTAAACATTTCTGTCAAACGGGCTTTTGCGAGCAACTTTTTCGAACTTCTCCAACAACGGTTGCGCACCTGCCAGGGCCATCATCCCTGTCAAATAATACCATGCGGGACACATTCGTTTTTTCTTCGCGCGCGCACGCCGTCGTCGTCGGCCGCGGGGCCCTGAATAGTAGCCACGGTCGTCCGCATGCCACGAAGTGAAGTGTCCGAACGTCATAGGGCGGGAAGCTGGGTGTGGGTGGTGGCGAAGAGTCGTTTGGAAATTTGGTAGAGCTTGAACCGGCCCCCCCACAAAGTGGGGGTATTGCCCGCCTCCTATGAAAACCCTGGCACTGGTGAGAACGGTGTGTCCCCACGTGCTAGTAATTGTTGTTGTTGTTGTTGTTGTTGTTGTTGTTGTTGTGGTTATTGTTTTTGTTGTTGTCGTTGCCGTTGTTGTAGCTGCTGTTGTTGTTGTCGTCGTGATGGTTGTTGTGGTTGTTGTTGTCATTACTGTTGTTGTTGTTGTTGTTGTTGTTGATGTCGCTCTTGTTCTTTCGGTTGTTGTTGTCGTTGTTGTTGTTGCTGCTGCTGCTGCTTATGTTTGTTTTGTTGTTTCTGTTGTCGTTAATGTTGGTGACGATATTTTATTGTAGGAGTTGTTGTTGCTGCTGTTGCTGTTGTTATGCTTGGCGTTGCTGTTGTCGTTGTTGTTGCTGTGATGGTCGTTGTTGTTGTTGTTGTTGTTGTTGATGTTGCTGTTATTGTTATCTTCGTTGTTGTCGTTGTCGTTGTCGTCGCTGTTATGGTTGTTGTCGTTGTTGTTGTCGTCGTCGTCGTTGTTGTGGTGGTTGTTGTTATTGTTGTTGTTGTCTTCGTCGTCGTAGTTGTTGTGGTTGTTGTTGTCGTCGTCGTTGTTGTCGTTGCTGTTGCTGTTGCTGTTGTGGTTGTTGTTGCTGTTGTTATTGTTCTTGCAGTTGTTGTTGTTGCTGCTGTCGATGTTATTGTTGTTATGTGTGTTGTTGTTGATGCTGTTGCTGTTGTTGGTGTTGTTGTTATTATTGTTGTTGTGGTTGTTGTTGTCATTGTGGTTCTTATTGTTGTTGTTGTTGCTGTTGCTGTTGCTGTTGCTGTTGTCGTTGCTCTTATGGATGATGTTGTAGTCGTTGTCGTTGTCGTTGTCGTTGTCGTTGTCGCTGTTGCTGTTGCTGTTGCTGTTGCTGTTGCTGTTGCTGTTGCGGTTGCTGTTGTTGTTGTTGTTGTTGTTGTTGTTGTTGTTGAACATTATTTATTCTAAAGAATAATTATTGTTGGGCCCCCTGGTGCGCGCCCCCCCTGCGCCGCCTAGGCCGCAGCTACATTTTCATCATTTTCGTGAGGAAGCCTCAGAAAAGAGGGTGTGTACAGGATCCGGTTGTTTTGTTGTAATCCGCTTTCCCTTGCAAAAAACAATAGAAAATGACATTTCTTGTTCTAATATAATCAAATTTCAAGAATCCCTTGCAAAAAATAAGGTAAAGTGGACATTCGCGCGCGCAAGACGAAATCCTTCCAAAACCTTAGTGTTCGCAGCGATTTTAACATAAAAACATAAAAAAACCAATGGTTTTTCAACAAAAAAATGTCAAAATCTCATCCCGCGCGCTCTTGCGGATTCGTAGGAAACCCAACACTTTTTAAACATTTCTGTCAAACGGGCTTTTGCGAGCAACTTTTTCGAACTTCTGCGACAACGGTTGCGCACCTGCCAGGGCCATCATCCCTGTCAAATAATACCATGCGGGACACATTCGTTTTTTCTTCGCGCGCGCACGCCGAAATCTCCAAAAACCATTGGGCTTCTTAAGAATTTTAGCACCGCGCATCATAAAATCACACGAATCACACCGTAGGTCCTCGAAAAACACCTGCACGACTTTTCAAAATTTCTACCCGCGCGCGCTGTCCGAATCCTAAAAAAAACCAATGGTTTTCCAACATTTAAGTTACATGAGCTCGCGCGAGCTACTTTCGCACGCTCTTGCAACGGGGTTCGCGCGCCTGCCAGGGGCCACAATCCCTTGCGGTTGCGCCATAGGTTGCGCCCTCGGCCGCCGAGAATAAAACGTCCCCCTATTGGTTGCGCCATAGGTTGCGCCCTCGGCCGCCGAGAATAAAACGTCCCCCTACTGGTTGCGCCATAGGTTGCCCCAGGAGGCCTTCAAGAGGCCCCAAGAGCCCGCCGTGAGGACCCAATAAGCCCCCAAGAGGCCCCAAGATGCTTCCAAGACAACCATCGGGACAATCATCGGGACAGTCATCGGGACAACGATCGGGACAAGCACAACCATCAGGACAACCATCGGGACAATCATCGGGACAACGATCGGGACAACCACAACCATCAGGACAACCATCGGGACAACCATCGAGACAACCATCGGGACAACCATATCCTCTCTCTCTTGTGTATTCCCACATCCCTCAGGAATTTGCCCTAAAGATGTGATCAACTATCTTGTGAGTACGTATCATGTGTATCATGTGTATCATGTACCATATGCATCATATGCAACAGATGTTCTGTGGAAGGCTTAACAACTTCTGTGGGTTAACAAGGCTTAACAACTTCTGTGGGTGTACGAACGTAGGCTTAACAACTTCTGTGGGTGTGTACTCCACGCCAGTGTAGTAGCCACGGTCGTCCGCAGGCCACGAAGTGAAGTGTCCGAACGTCATAGGGCGGGAAGCTGGGTGTGGGTGGTGGCGAAGAGTCGTGTGGATATTTGGTAGAGCTTGCACTGCCCCCCCACAAAGTGGGGGTATTGGCTGGCGTCGCATGAAAACCCTGGCACTGGTGAGAACACTGAGCGTTCGGGTAAAGTGATTGTTGTTGTTGTTGTTGTTGTTGTTGTTGTTGTTGTTGTTGCTGTTGTTGTTGTTGTTGTTGTTGTTGTTGTTGTTGTTGTTGTTGTTGTTGTTGTTGTGGTCGTGGTTGTTGCTGTTGCTGCTGCTGTTCCTCACGGCGCGACGTGGCTTGGGCACCTCCCTGCTGGAGGCCCAGGCCGCCCCGCCGACGGGGGTGCCTGCTGTTGGCCTTTGGGGTTGCGGCCGGACTCCCCTCCGTCCAAGCAGCGGGGGGAGCGTCTCTGCTTGGCGCCGCTCGGACGAGTGCATTTTCTGGTTTCGGCGAGGGCCATCGACGAGCATCCTGGTTCCTCGAGCGGAGGCAACGCGCACGGCTTCGACACACGCACAGGGAATGGACGTCCGAGCGGTGGCGCGTCCGTGCGGAAGACGCAGACTGGCGGCGAGCGCACGGGGGGGGGAAGGGAGGAGGCAGAGGCCCCCCCCCCCAGAAGGCGGCGGGACCTCTCAGAAGCCCTCGCGCCTTCGGGGAGGTCCCCCGTGTCCTCGGGGAAGGCTTCGGACACTTCCCAGAGGGGCGGACTTCAGGGCCTTCCGAGAAGGCCTTCTCCTTCTCGCTTCCCCCCCCCCCGGGGGCGCGCCGCCGTTCAGAGGAGGCCACCACCGACGGCGGCGGCGCCCCCCCTCTCGACGCGGGGGCGGAGCCGAGCTGGACCTGCCCAGGGCTGGCGGAGCTGGCTTCGGGCCGCTGCGCTATCTCCCCCCCACTCCCCCCTCTGGAGGGCCCTCTCCTCCCTCCTCCTTCTCCGCCCCCTCCGCCTCCTCCTCTTCTTCCGCCTCCTCCTTTTCCTCCTCCTCCATCTCCTCCCCCTCCGCCGCCTCCTCCTCCTCCGCCTCCTCCTCCTCTCTGGAGGGCCCTCTTCTCCCCATCCTCGGGGCATGGGGAGGAGGTGTGCCGCGCGCCGCAGAGGACATCTACCACGCGGGCGACGGGCGCGCCGAGTGCGACGTGGCCCTGGCGGTGGCGGACCGTGAGGACGACAAGGCCAGCAGAGGATGAGGAGGGGGAATGATGCTGCTGATGATGATGTTGATGCTGATGCTGATGCTGATGCTGATGCTGATGCTGACGATGCTGATGCTGATGCTGATGCTGATGCTGATGCTGCTGCTTCTGCTGCTGCTGCTCCTGCTGCTGATGATGATGATGATGATGATGATGATGATGATGATGATGATGATGATGATGATGATGATGATGATGATGATGATGATGATGATGATGATGCTGATGATGCTGCTGCTGCTGCTGCTGATGATGATGATGATGATGATGATTCTTGTTGTGGTGCTCCTTCTCCTCCTCTTCTCCTCCTCTTCTCCTCCTCCTCCTCTTCCTCCCCGTCCTCCTCCTCCTCCTCCACTTCCTCTTCTTCTTCCTCCTCCTCCTCCTTCCCCTCCTCCTCCACCGTCCCCTTCTCCTACTCCTACTCCTTCTTCTCCTCCTCCCGTCCCCCTCCTCCTCCTCCTCCTCCTCCCTCCTCCTCCTCCTCCTCCTCCTCTTCTTCCTCCTCCTCCTCTTCCTCCTCCTTCTCTTCCTCCTCCTCCTCCGCCTCCTCCTCCTGCTCCTCTTCTTCCTCTTCCTCCTCCTCCTCCTCCTCCTCCTCCTCACCCCCCTCGTCTTCCGTCGCCCTCCTCGCGCCGCTTTCGGGGGGCCCCGCGCTGCCGCCCCCTGGGTCGCCGGCGCGGGAGGACCTGGAGGCCGAGGGCGACAGGCGCCTGGAGGACAGGCGGCTGGCCGGTCTCGAGGATGCCCGGGCCCTGGAGCGGGTGGTGGTGGTGGTGGTGGTGTTGGTGGTCGTCGTCGTCGTCGTCGTCGGCCTCGTCGTCGTCGTCGTTGTCGTCGTCGTCGGCCTATTCGTCGTCGTCGTCGTCGTTGTTGTCGTCGTCGTCGTCGTCGGCAACGTCGGTCCAGCCGTCGTCGGCATCGCCGCCTTGGACGTCGTCGGCCGCGTCGCCTGTTGCCGGCGGCGGCGGTGCAGGCGTCGGTGTCCATGCCCTCGCCCTCGTCAGTCGAGTCGCCTCCGCGCTCCTCCTGGTCCGTGCTCCGTGTCGCGCCCGCTTTCCTCCTGCTTCTGTTTGGCCCAATTTGGCCGCCTCCCGTAGTGTCCTTCGGCTGCCTTTGAACGCGGTGTGGATCCGCGCCGAAAGACCGTTCGCCACGCGGCTCGCGCCAACAATGCCTTCAGAGCCACGTTCTGCCATCTCCGCTCACGAGAAAGTTCGGAGGCTAGTCTTGCGTCGTTACCGGCGAGGAGGAGGAGCAGGAGGAGGAGGAGGAGGAGGAGGAGGAGGAGAAGGAGGGGGAGGAGGAGTATGAGAGTAGGAGGAGGAGTAGGAGGAGGAGGAGGAGGAGGAGGAGGAGGAGGAGGAGGAGGAGGAGGAGGAGGAGGAGGAGGAGGAGGAGGAGGAGGAGAATTATCCTGGCGAAGGACCCAACCAGATGCAGTTGCGAGTACCGCAATTGTGAGTATCTTCTTCGATGGCGCTGTAGGGGTGTGCGGAAATCTGTGCGGTGGCCACGAAACGTGTGAGGGGTGTGCCGAAATGTGTGCGGTGTGCGGCAGCCATTGGGGCCTTCGGTGGAGCTCCCTATGGGGCCACGGCGTGTGAGGGGTGCCGAAATGGGTGCGGTGGCCATGCGAACGCAGCCACTGGGGCCTTCGGTGGAGCTCCCTATGGGGCCACGAAACGTGTGAGGGGTGTGCCGAAATGGGCGCGGTGGGCGCATGGGAGCGCAGCCACTGGGGCTTCGCTGGAGCTCCCTATGGGGCCACGAAACGTGTGAGGGGTGTGCCGAAATGGGTGCGGTGGGCGCATGGGAGCGCAACGCAGCCACGGGGCCTTCGCTGGAGCTCCCTTGGGGCCACGAAGCGTGTGAGGGTGTGCCGAAATGGGTGCGGTGGCAGCATGCGAGCGCAGCCACTGGGGCTTCGGTGGAGCTCCCTATGGGGCCACGAAGCGTGTGAGGGTGTGCCGAAATGGGTGCGGTGCGCATGGGACGCAGCCACTGGGGCCTTCGCTGGGCTCCCTATGGGGCCACGAAAGCGTGTGAGGGGTGCGCCGAAATGGGCGCGGCGGGCGCATGGGAGCGCAGCCACTGGGGCCTTCGGTGGAGCTCCCTATGGGGCCACGAAACGTGTGAGGGGTGTGCCAGAATGGGGGGTGGAACCGCATGCGGGCGCAGCCACTGGGGCCTTCGGTGGAGCTCCCTATGGGGCCACGAAAAGTGTGAGGGGTGTGCCAGAATGGGGGGTGGAACCGCATGCGGGCGCAGCCACTGGGGCCTTCGGTGGAGCTCCCTATGGGGCCACGAAACGGGTGAGGGGTGTGCCAAAATGGGGGGTGGAACCGCATGCGGGCGCAGCCACTGGGGCCTTCGGTGGAGCTCCCTATGGGGCCACGAAACGTGTGAGGGGTGTGCCGAAGTGGGCGCGGTGGGCGCATGGGAGCGCAGCCACTGGGGCCTTCGCTGGAGCTCCCTATGGGGCCACGAAACGTGTGAGGGGTGTGCAGAAATGGGTGCGGTGGGCGCATGGGAGCGCCGGCACATGATGATGATGATGATGATGATGATGATGGACGATGATGATGATGATGGTGATGATGCATGATGATGCTGGTGAGATGATGATGCTGCTGATGATGATGATTGATGTGCGGATGCTGCTGCTGCTTGCTGAGGATGATGATGATGATGATGATTGCTGATGATGATGGATGAGCTGATGATGATTGATGATGATGGCTGATGACGATGAGATGCAGGAGGGAGGGGGCAGCGGGAGGAAGGACTGCGAAACGCGGGCGATGCTCTCCCAAAACGAGGACCACACCACAGGTGGACAAGGGGATGTGGGAAAAAACAACAGGAGGAGGAGGAGGAGGAGAGGAGGAGGGAGGAGGAGAGGAGGAGGAGGAGGAGGAGGAGGAGGAGGAGAACGAGAGAGAAGGAGGGGGAGGAGGAGCAGGAGGAGGAGGCGAGGTCGAGGACGAGGAGGAGGAGAGAGGAGGAGAAGGAGGAGGAGGAGGAGGCCGAGGAGGAGGAGGAGGAGGAGGAGGATAAAGAAGATGCTGCTGCTGCTGCTGATGATGATGATGAGGTTTGATGATGATGAGGATGCTGATGAGGATGCTGATGCTGATGTTGCTGATGATGCTGATGATGATGCCGATGCTGATGCTGATGATGATGATGCAGCTGTTACCGACGATGCTGATGCTGATGATGAGGAGGATCAGGATGCTGATAATGATGGGTATGTTGATGATTATGATGATTATGGCGATGCTGCTGATGATGATGCTGCTGATCATGATTGTGATGCTGATGATGATTATAATGATGATGCTGATGATGATCATGCTGATGATGATGCTGATGCTGATGCGGGTGATGATGCTGTTGATGAGGATGATGATTATTATGAATATGATGATGATGCTGTTGCTGATGATGCGGATTACGATGATTGGTAATGGTGCTGATGCTCCCGATGATGATGATTATGATGATGATGCTGATGCTGCTGATGATGATGCTGATGATGCTGATGATGATGATGCTGATGATGATGCTGCTGATGATGATGCCGATGATGATGCTGATGCTGATGCTGATGCTGATGATGCTGATGCTGATGCTCAGGATGACGATGATGATGATGCTGCTGCTGATGCTGATGAAACTGATGATGATGATGCTGGTGATGCTGATGATGATGCTGCTGATGATGATGATGAAGCTGATGATGCTGATGCTGATGATGATGCTGCTGATGCTGATGATGATGATGCTGATGCTGATGCTGATGATGATGATGATGATGATGATGATACTGATGATGGTGATGCTGATGATGAGGATGCTGATGCTGATGCTGCTGATGCTGATGCTGATGAAATGATGATGATGCTGATTGTGATGATAATGATGCTGATGATGACGATGATGATGATGATGATGATGATGATGATGATGATGATGATGATGATCATTTTGATGATGATGATGCTGATGATGATGATGTTGATGATGATGATGATGATGATGATGATTGTGATGGTGATGGTGATGATGATGATGAGGAGGAGGAGGAGGAGGAGGAAAAGGAGGAGGCGAGGACGAGGAGGCGAGGAGGAGGAGGCGAGGAGAAGGAGGAGGAGGAAGAGGAGGAGGAAGAGGATGAGGAGGATGAGGAGGAGGAAGATGATGATGATGATGATGAGGAGGAGGCGAGGAGGCCGAGGAGGAGGAGGAGGAGGAGGAGGAGGAGGAGGACGAGGAGGAGGAGGAGGAGGAGGCGGAGGAGGAGGAGGAGGAGGGGGAGGAAGAGGAGGACGAGGAGGACGACGAGGAAGAGGAGGAGGAGGGGGAGGAAGAGAAGGAGGAGGAAGAGGAGGAGGAGCAGGAACGGAACTGAACGGAACGGAGCGCCTGTGCGGGCATGCTCCCGGGCCCCTCAAGGGCGAGGCGGGTGAGGCCATGGCCTCGCATGAGAAGCTGCGCGCGTCGGGGGTCTACTCAGGAGAATGCGTACTTCAGGAGCTGGTTTCCCGACAGACCCCACTCATCCTTTTTCTCATGATGTAGCCACGGCGTCTCGTTGAAATCGTAGTGCTTGTGGTGTGAGACTGTCGGAGAAACCCGTGGGTTTCATCGTCCTTTCTGTGATCCCGAACCCATAGCAAAACACGTTCGAGTTGAACTCCTCGGACCTCCAATCCACTGCACATGGGTGTGGGAGCACTGGTGTTCTCATAACTCTATGTCACATCCTTCAGGTACCACTCAAGAACCAAATCACCACGTGCAATCGAAGGCCCATACGCGCTCTGTGACACACCCAAGAGATCAGCTAGAGGTCGATTGGTGGTGGAAGTGGGAAGTCAACTGTGAGAGGTAGGAGGTCTGAATGTTGTGCTGGTGGAGGGTAGTGGTTGATTGGTGGAGGTGGAAGTCGAGAGTCGGATGCTGGACGTTGGAGGTTGAAATGCTGAGTTGATGGACGCCGAAGTCGATAGACAGAGTTGGCAGTGGAGAGTTGGATGCTAGAGAATGGAGGTCGTAGTGTTGAGGACGCTGGAGGTCGATTGATGGAGGTGGGAGTGGAAAGTCGGATGCGCGAGGTTGGTGGTCGGAGTGCTGAGCTGGTGGACGCTGGAGGTCGATAGGTGGAGCTGGAAAGGGGGAGGTGTACGCTAGAGGTTGAAGGTCGTACTGTTGAGCTGATGGACGCTGGAAGTCAGTAGGTGGATGCGGAGGTGTAGAGTCGGATGCTGGAGATTGGAAGTCGGAGTGCTGAGTTGGTGGACGCTGGAGGTCGATATGTGGAGCTGGAAATGGAGAGGTGGATGCTAGAGGTTAGCGTCGGAATGATGAGCTGGTGGGCTCTGGAGGTCGATATGTGGAGCTGGATGTGGAGAGACGGATGCTAAACACTTGGGGTCGGATTGCTGCGATCATGGGCGCTGGAGATCGGTAAGCGGAGGTGGAAACGGAAAGCCGGATGCTAACAGCTGGAGGTCGGAATGCTGAGCTGGTGGGCGCTGGGGATCGGTAGGTGGAGGTGGAAATGGAGAGTGGGATGTTGAAAGCCGTCGGACGGAATGCTGAGCTGATGGACGCTGGAGGTCGGTAGGCGGATGTGGGAGTGTAATGTCGGATGCTGGAGGAGGAGCAGGAGGAGGAGGAAAAGAGGGAGGAGGAGGAGGAGGAGGAGGAGGAGGAGGAGTAGGATGGGGAGGAGGAG